GCAGATAAAGGAAGAATCACACAAGTAGACACAGCCCAGTAGGGGTGGCTGGTGTGCATTTGCACAGGAGTGGACAGCATCTTCCAACTGCAGTACTCTCCCGGGTGGAGAAGGACTAGCACAGCAGGCCGCTGAGCCCTTGCTGCAGAAAGAGAGGGGAGTGATGGGAAATAGGAGAGAGCGTGTCGGCGCGGGGGAAAGTTATTTTCCCACTCAGGTTCACAGGAGAGGTGGAATCCCAGTTTCGTTAGAGATGCTGTTTTTTTCAGATGCTAGGGGCCATCTGGCTGGCCTGAGAGATGACGTAGGAGGTTGAGAGGTCCCACCTAAGAGGGCTCTGGCATCTTTTGCACGTTTGAGAAGTGCTCCGTGCACATTTCATGCCAGGTGCTTTGTTTCCTAGATACCTGTCCACCCTGTGTCCATCTGTCTGTCCATCATACTGTTTGCTGCATCCATCTCCCTGCCCATCCATCCTTGTGTGCATCCATCTGGCCCATTATTGACTGCGCAGGGTGTACCAGATATTCTCCCTACTTTCCATCCATTCATTGCCCTCGATCTGTGCATGCACCCTCCATCCAGCACTGCCGATCGCCCATTCCGTGCCGGGCACCGTGCTAGCCCCTGGAGCCCTGAGGAGGGAGCCAGGCTCATGAATGAGGTTTTACTGTTTTTCAGTTTTTTTTTTTTTAACTTTTATTTAATGAATATAAATTTCCAAAGTACAGCTTATGGATTACAATGGCTTCCCCCCCATAATGTCCCTCCCACCCGCAACCCTCCCCTTTCCCATTCCCTCTCCCCTTCCATTCACATCAAGATTAATTTTCGATTCTCTTTATATACAGAAGATCAGTTTAGCATACATTAAGTAAAGATTTCAACAGTTTGCTCCCACACAGAAACATAAAGTGAAAAATACTGTTTGAGTCCTAGTTATAGCATTAAATCTCAATGTACAGCACATTAAGGACAGAGATCCTACATGAGGAGTAAGTGCACAGTGACTCCTGTTGTTGACTTAACAAATTGACACTCTTGTTTATGGCGTCAGTAATCACCCTAGGCTCTTGTCATGAGCTGCCAAGGCTATGGAAGCCCCCTGAGTTCACCAACTCTGATCATATTTAGACAAGGCCATGGTCAAAGTGGAGGTTCTCTCCTCCCTTCAGAGAAAGGTGCCTCCTTCTTTGATGACCCGTTCTTTCCACTGTGATCTCACTCGCGGAGATCTTTCATTTAGGTTTGGTGTTTCTTTTTTTTTTTCCCCCCCAGAGTGTCTTGGCTTTCCATGCCTGAAATAGTCTCATGGGCTTTTCAGCCGGATCTGCATGCCTTAAGGGCTGATTCTGAGGCCAGAGTGCTGTTTAGGACATCTGCCATTCTATGGGTCTGCTGTGTATCTTACTTCCCGTGTTGGATCATTCTCTCCCTTTTTTATTCTATCAGCTAGTATTTGCAGACACTATTCTTGTTTATGTGCTCCCTTTGGTTCTTAGTCCTATCATTATGATCAGTTGTGAACAGAAATTGATCACTGGGACTAGTGAGATGGCACTGGTACATGCCACCTTGATGGGACTGAATTGGAATCCCCTGGTATGTTTCTAACTCTACCATTTGAGGTAAGTCAGCTTGAGCATGTCCCGAATTGCACATCTCTTCCCTCTCTTATTCCTACTCTTATATTTAACAGTGATCACTTTTCAGTTAAGTTTCAGCACTTAAGAATAATTGTGTATTGATTACAGTATTCAACCAAAAGTATTAAGTAGAACAAACAAACAAAAATACTAAGAGGGATAACATATTAAGTTGTTCATCAACAGTCAGGGCGAGGGCTTTTGAGGTGAGGTTGGTAACTGTTCCCCACCCATGAAGGCACAGGCTGTGTGTGCTCTGTGCCTGCTTTTGTCTCCTCAGTGACTTACACGTCAGGCACACGGGTGCTCAGTGCACAGTTCTGTAAAAGAGCAGAATCAGTGATCTGTGTAGCACGGTCCACTCCTTTGACGGGGTGTGGCCACAGCTGTGAGAGTTCACACAGCAGACCCCACTTCTGGGCCAAGTTACGAAGAACAATGGCTGCCTGTGCCTGCCGTTCATTCACTGTGCTCTGGTGGTTGCTCTACAGGGCTGACCTGGTCTTGGCACTGTCATGGCTGCCTACACCGAGCAGGTGCAGAACGTGCTGAGAGGGAGAAATCCAGGTGCTGTGGCTGCACAGTGGGAGCCAGGCTGGGCAGTGGCAGGGATGCCCAGGGCTGTGTGTGTGTGTGTGTGTGTGAGAGAGAGAGAGAGAGAGAGAGAGAGAGAAACAGGGGGAGGCAGGGGGAGACAGAGACAGAGAGGAGCTGTACCTGGAAGGGTCTTCTGGCAGGAGCCCTGGGTCAGTCGAGGTAGAAGAGGCCCTTCAGGCCAAGGAGGATGCATGAGGGCGCTGATGTGGGATGTGTCCGAGGGTGGAGAGCAGCAGGGGGAGGCCATCGGCGAGGCTGGGCCAGGCCCCTGCAGTATCGGAGGAGCAGGACTTCTTGCTTTCATTGTGGCGGAACCCCCGGGTTCTGGCGACACTAGGACGTGGAGGCCTGGGCTTCCCAAGAAAGCACGCATTACAACTTTCTAGAGCTGCTGTAACAAGCGACCGCTGGGTCGCTTCAAGCCACAGTGATTTCTTTTCCCTTAATTCTGGCGTCTGAAATTCCAGAGTCAGGACGTCAGCAGTGCGTGTGCCCTCTGAAGGGCGCTGCCTGTTCTGGGCTTCGGGTGCCTCCTGATGGTCCTTGCTGTTGACATGGCCTTTCTTCATGCAAGCCTGTGTCTTCTATTAAGGACACCTGCTATGGGGTTTAGGGCCCATCCCAATCTGGTGTGACTTCATTTTCACTGATCACATCTGCTGAGACTGTTTCCAAATGAGGTCACATCCTTTAGGTTCCCTGCGGGTGGACATGATGTCCGGGGACAGTGTGGGCCCACTGCAGGAGCGGGTATTGAAGGTGGTGGAAGGTGCTGGGGGGCTCCCCATGAGCCTTCTCATTCCTCAGATAGTGGCAGGGAGGCCAGCAGTGGCTGGGATTCCAGGCCCTAGGAGGGCTCCTGGGTGTAGGATTCTTCCCATGGGAGGTGCCTTGGAGCAGGTCTCGGGGTCATGGTCTCCTTATCCTTCCTGTAGGGAAGAGAGCATGTCAGGGTTTCTTATTGACTGTCCCCCCAGTACCTTGTGATAGGAGGAAGTGTCCATGAGAATAAAAGGGCCGAAATAATGAATGACCCTGGTGAACAATGGCCCAGGGTTTTTCCATGGTCCCTCTCTCCTCTGGGAACAGCTTCCTGCTGCTTTCTTGGAGGCACGTTGCCAGGGACTTTCCGGGCCTACAGGCCTCTGCTTTCCTTTTCTTTCTCACTTCTTTGCTTTCTCAGGTTCACTTTTATTAGCTTCTTCTAGCTTCCTGGTATTTAATACCTCAAACGCAGTGTCTCCTTATAATCATGATTCTTGCACTTAGTGTGCGTAAGAATTGCCTTGAGAACTTATTAAAAAAAGAAAAAAACAAACAGGTGTCCAGATTGGAATCCCAGAATTTCTGATTTAGTAAGAGTGGAGTGATCTGAGTTAGACAAACTTCAGAAGCCAAGAAATGTTTCTCCCCAGAGTGTGTGTGTGTGTGTGTGTGTGTGTGCATGTGTTCCCTCTTGTGCCACCTGATGGATTATAAAGGCTGGCTTCTGCCTTTACCTGATGGTAATTGGCACAATTTGTCACCGGATTATGTATTTAGAATTTTGACCTAGATATGCTATCTAGATACACAAAGGCAAATTGTCCTATCATTTGCCTCTAGGCAAAGTGGTTTAAAAATAGCATTAGAGGTACCTTGAAAATGTTATTAACAGCATCCTGTTGGATGAGGAAGGCAGTGGGGGGAATAGATGTTTCCGGATTTCAGGACTAAGCCTGGGAAATGGAGTTGTGATTGACGGGTGGGTCATGAAGGCCTGGGTGACGGATGGCTGTACTGTCCCTGTTTCTGTGATGCAGCTTTCTAAACAGGATGGTGGCGTTGGTCATTCTCCTGATGAAACTCTTAAAAAAGAGGCACGTTCAGGTGCATGCATTCATTTACTTAAACATGGTTGAGAACTTAAGACTTGCTGGAGTGGGGCTAACTGTGCTCTTTCATCAGCAAACAGCCACAGCAGCAGCCTGCCTGGGGTTTCTGATGTCCTTAGGCTGGGACACCTTAAACAGTGACAAGTGTCAAAGGGAATCAGAGCTGCCTAAAGGGATGGAAAGGCGGAGTTCTGGGAGCCAGGAGAGCTAGCCCCTGGGTTGGGAGGAACAGGAGGAGGCTGTTTGCCTGAGGCAGAGACCCTTCAAAGGGACCGTGATGAAGAGCTGGGGCAGTGACTGGGTGTGCCCAGAGCAGGCTCCTGGAGAGCCAGCAGCAGGCTGGTGTTTGGGGCTGGGGAGATCCTGGCTCATTTGAGGCACTGAGCAAGGGCTGGGGCGGCAGGGCCCCTGCAAGTCTTCTAGACCTCGAGTGCAGTGGAAGAGTCACAGTGAGGAAGTGTCCGGAAAGGGCATGACAAGATCGGATCTGCCTTTTGAGCGGGTCATTCAGATGGCGTGCAGCGGAGTAGGGGCCCTGGTTAGGAGTCCAGGCCAGAGACGGCTGGCCTAGGCTCAGGTGATGGAGGTCTTGTTCTATCACGATGCCATTGGAGAAGAGTTAATTGAGGTGGAAAAGCACTCTCGGGAGGTTCCTGTGTTACCTAATCTGTGGGGCTCCTTGTTCAGAAAGGAAACGCCGGGACTGTAGGAGGCGTGAACATAGCTGCTTTTCTTCTTTCCTGATCTCTCTCTTGACTTGTGTTACTCTTAATTTGTTATTTAATGTTGTTCTAAAAAAGAAAAATTTACAATTTAAATTATTAGTGTGATTTCTTCTGTTCCTCTTTATATTGTGTAATGCCAATTTTAAATGTAAGAATAAGATCATTTGACTTGGCTGTGGAATCACCAGAATTATACAGTTTATATTTTTACAGCTCATAAGCATTTGTTTCATTCTTCCAAGAACAGTGGAGACGCTGCACAAAATAACCCCAGTGTTGCTGCCCCAGTCCCGGATGGCATGCACTGTCTCCACACGTTCCTCCCTGTGGCGTGCTCATGCATGAGGAAGGGCGGCGAGGGACGGCAACAGTGGATCTCTTGAGCTTTTCCTTGCCTGTGTCCTCGTGGTCAGCTCATCCTGGGAAATAGCATGAGGAAGAAAGGCTGTGATAAGGTCCCAGAGCCATGCATGTTTCTTCAAACACCACTGTTTTCTTCTTGAACTTGGCACCTTCTGGATGGGACAGAAGACATGGCCTCTCAGGGCTGTCAGCCTTCCTGCTTGCACGGCTGCATACATAACACACTTACCTGTGTTCACTCTGAGTCTCACTGGGCTCCACACATCGAGGGGCCACCCCCAGAGTTCTGTGCTCCTGGGCTCACAAGGAACCCCAGCGGGCACCATGACACCCAGCCTGCCCACTCCTCTGCTTGACGGGCGTGCTGCCCTGTCCCAGCACACTCCACACTCAAAGCACAAGGTCAGGGGTTAAGTTAGTGACGACTCCTGACAGCTGGTGCAGAGCAGTAGCCCACGAAGACCCTTCTGAGCCTGGGATCCCGTGAGGCTGCTGTGCCTGTAGTCCAGGCTCTCAGACACTTCCGCTGCCCTGTGAGCCTGCAGACTGGGGTCACGGGTGTCTCTGTCTGATTTACCATCTGCAGGCTTAGAGGAGATGAGCTGGGCATGGCCTGCACTGGCAGCCCCAGTCCAGACTTGTGGTGCAAGAGTGCTCGGCTCCCCAGGCGCCAAAGGCAGTTGTCCGTGCTGGGGGGAAGCCTGGTTTGCAGATGGCTTCTGGGCTGTCGGCACCAGGCCTGTTCATCAGCTACAGGTGTGTGTGGGTTTCTTCGGTCTGCGGATCCACCCCCTGCAGAAGGCCTATTCCTAGCTCAGAAAGAGACCTGCGCAAGAACATTTTTGCAAAAGACTCCGAGTTCAGAACTTGAGATTTGTACCTTGAGTTGTGGTGTTCCCACCTCCCACCCCATTGTCGTCTTGATTCGTCTCAGGAGCATTAATTGCCTGCCAGGGGAACACTTGTAAACCTGCTGTCAGGAGTCAGATTCCGGAATGTTCCGTCATCAGGGCTCAGTACTCGATGTTCTGAAGGGGTAGGTGATGGCACTTCTCAAACTTCAGCGTGCACAGAAGCCGCCTCCGGTCCCAGAAATGTCGGTTCTGGTGGCTTCCGTGGGCTTCCCGGGAGGGGGCTGCATGTGGCGTCAGCCCTGTTTTGAGAAGCCATCTCTGGCGTCTCACGCTCCGTGATCTACGGAAGGGAAGACCCTGAGAGCCTGCCGCAGTGTCATTGCTGGGGAGGAGACGCACACCGCTGGGTAAGGCGGCACAGGTGGGGATTGCTTGGGAACCTGTTGGGCGGGCAAGTGTGTGCCATCCTGGGCTCCCCGCTGGGCCCAGGGCACTCAGCCTCCCTGGAGATGGCAGCAGCTGATTAAACAGGGGCTAAGAGAAAGTGAAACTGATTTTTGGGAATGTTACCAGGTGTGGCTTTGCCCAGGATTGCTAGGTACTTTTTTCCCCCTTCTTCTCCTTCACGGAACATTCAGTTAACCCCAGGGAGAGGGGAAGAAAAGCAGATTTTTGAACGGAGCTTGATTGTGGAGCCCAGCAGCTATGGCTGACCTCTGGTGCTGCTGCCCAGGGGCGTCTGCCTGCGCCCAGGGGTTAGGTGGATTCAGATGGAGCCGAGAGGAGAGGAGGGCAGTGTGGAGGGGGCGTGGAGACTGGAGGAGGCTGGGCCGTGTGATGGCCCTCTCATCTTTACTCCGACTTAGAGCAGCTGGTATCTTATTTATTCCATTACTTCCTAAAAGCTGTCTACTAAGAACTCTTAGTTTATTGAGTGCTTACTGTGCTGAGGGTCCTGTGGGAAAGACTGCAAGCATCATCATCTCTGTCTTTTAAAGATTGCTATATTTATTTGAAAGGCAGAGTTACAGAAAATGGGGGTGGGGGGAGTCAGAGCCGTCATCTGCTGGTTTACTCCCCAGATGACCACAGTGGCCTGGGCTGGCAGGAACTTCTTGCAGGTCGCCCACGTGGGTAGCAGTGGCCCAAAGACTTGCACCATTTTCCACTGCTTTCTCAGGTCATTAACAGGGAACTGGATTGGAAGTGGAGCAGCTGGGACTCGAACCGGCCCCAAAAGGGGTGCTGTCACTGCAGGCCATGGCCCCCGCTGTGCCACAAGGCCGGCCCCAGGCATCGTCTCTTTTCTTACAGGAATCTTGGGAGGCAGGTCTCCTCTGAGCTCCATCCACACAGGTGAAAACTGAACACAGCCACTTTAGGAGTTTTGAACCCTTGGAGTCTGTTCCCAAAGCCCCAGTGCTTACCCACTCTTCCAGGCCTGTTAGGCTGAGTGTCTGACTGCATTCCTGGTGCCTGGCTTCTCCCTGGCTGGTCTCAAGTTCTCTTGGCTCTTGCGAGCAAGTGTAGCTCATGTTGCATACCTCCAAGATCTGCTGCCTGTAACTTTGAATGAACACCTGCTGAATTCCATTAAGATCCGATTCCTCGGCCTGGGTTACTGGCTTTCGTTGTCCCCTTTTGTTTCCTGTGCTAGAGGAGACCCAGGGGTTACAGGGAAGTGGCTGGTCTTGGCTTCATGGTCCCTGTTTTTTGTGGGGCTCCAGCTTGTCTGAATGTGCTAAGCTCAGATACGATCGCACAGGAGGTTGGAAGGTGTGGAAAGAGGAGTAACTGCAGAATTTGTAGATGCCGAGTTTTTCTTTTTTTAGGTGGAAGATTTTGCTTCATTTTTTTTCCCCAGGCCATAGAAACTACATAGGATAATAAATGTTTATTGTCATTTTAAGCCACTAAAGTTTAGAGTTTTTCATAGCAAGAGTTAACGAATCCAGGAATTCAAGGGTTTTCTGTAGAACCTAAAACAGCATGTGCCTCTCTGTATTACCCCCTTGGTTTTGCACTTTGCATTCACAAATGGGAATTCATTCTGCAGAAAGACCTGCATGCTGTGATGACCTGTTGAGAAATTAGTGTGGCTGGAAATCCATTGTCAACCGGAACTTATTTGCTTTGCAGTTTTCTTCTTTTTCATTGTTTTTAGAAAGCCTTTAATAGCCTTACCATTCTTTTGGTAAGTCTTTGCAGACTCTTCTCAGATAGCAGCATGTGGAAAGGCACAGAAAGGACAGAGCCACAGTCGCCTGGTGCCTGCTGGTGGAAGACGTGGTGGCACTCGGTTGCCTTGCTGTCTCGCCGTGTGCTGGATGCTGCTCTGGGCGCCTCGGCCTGTCTCTGTGAACCCAGGATGGGCAGAGCACCTCATCAACCCCGTGTTTCTGGCTCTTTGTCCCTTCTTCAATTTTTTGGCAAGGCCTTTCTTTAACTTGTAAACCTCTTCCAAGAAGGTCTGGCTTTGGCTGTAAGTTTAAGACCATAAATTTTCAGATGGTACACGTCACCCTCTTCATCTCATTGAGCCCGAACATCATGGTGAAGACATCATTTTATTTTGGGGTGGGGGGAATTAGTTGCTGTGGTTATTTGCTGAAACTAACAGAGTCTGTGTTCTCTCAGTTGGATTTTTGGAAATTGTTCTGGGAGAAAGACATGGATACATGCTTGCTGTAGGAATATCCAGATATTTCCTTGCAGAAAAATCCTTTGGGTAGAATCTTAGACCTGAAAGACCCTCTGATTCAGTCCCTGGTTTTCTAGGGAATGCTGTAAGGCTGAGTGTGTCACGTGCTGTGTGCACCTGTGTAGTTCACAGCAGAGCCAGCATGCGGCCCAATTTTGGTTTTTAGTCTCAGTTCTATTCTGTTCTGCCTGTGACATTTTTAAGTTCTCACCAGGGATTCATCCCCTTATTTCTCCAGTGTGTGTTGAGATCTTGGTGTTCCGGGCGCTGAGCTGGAAGAATTAGGAAGCTGTGGTCCTGTCCTCAGGGTGTTGGGTCTGAGTGCAAGCTCTTGCCTCAGAGAGAGTGATGCCTGGGCCAGCATCACCGACAGCCCCGGGACCTTGTGAGAAATGCGCATTCACAGGCTCCCAGGTCTGCTGGAGCAGCATCTGCGTTTTGGACAGACTTTAAGGCTCCCTCTCGAGGCCCATGCCAAGCCCAGTCTGACCCACTGAGCCCACAGAGCCCTTGGTGGCTCCTGTGTTCTCTTTGGGCTCCCTGCCCTGTGCAGCACACGCTGCCTGGCTGAGGCCAGCACTGCTGGCCTGGAACCCCGTGCTCCCCAGGATCTCGGCTGTGGCGCAGGGCCCATCCTTTCCCTGTTTCCTCTGGGACTGACAGGTGACGCATGATGACAGCATGCGTGCAGCAGTGCCCCTGAAAGGCCCCACTGGAGTTTTCCTCAGCTTAAGGAGAAACCCACCCTGCTCGGAATTCCTTCAGTTAGAACCTAGTGTCATGTGGTCCAGGGATTTTGCCTGGCACTTCAGATCCCAGGGGTGAAAGGAAATTTTGTTCATGCATGTTGGTTTTCTAGGCATCTGAGGGAAACCCTGAAGGACTCAAAGGTTTCTAGTAGCTTCCTAGAATGGGGTTATTTGATTGGTTTGCAGAATCAGTGAGGTAAAATGTCACCCAGTTTTTACGCCAATTAAGATTGCCCTGCCCCGCTACCTGCTGGCTATCTCCCCTGAGCTGTGGCTTACGGGAAGGAGGGTGGATGAGCACCCATGGGCCAGGCTGCTCCGTGCTCTGTGGGCCGTAGCTTGTTGTTTTTTTTTTTTTTTTTTTTCTTTTCATTTTCAGTTTCCACAACAACTCAGTGAAGGGCCTATCTCCATGGTTACAGAGACGCTTGGAAAGGTTGGGAGTTTGCCTGAAGTTGCACAACTGGGAAGGGGGAGACCTCGAGCTTGCACCTGTTTTTATGGAGCCCTCACCCCTCTGGCCCTCCCTGGCTCGTGTGTGTGTGTGTGTGTGTGTGTGTGTGTGTGTGTGTGTATGGGGAGAGACAGACAGATACCTGCACTTGCTCATCCTGGAAATACCCTCTCTTTGCTCCCTCACTTGCCTCGCCCTTCTCAGAATGGTCTCCTTTGTTTGCAGGAAGCACAGCCAGCTACGCCGGGGAGTTTTTCCTGCGCTGGCTCTCGGCTGCCATGTCGTCTGGTCTCAGGGTTCTAAATGCAGGTCCTCTGTTCTCTGTGTCCATACTCTGCTTTGTGTCAGGCAAGTTCCAGGCAGGGCTCTGCAGGACATGAGTGTTCCTTGTGGTGTGATGCCAGCTCGGTCGCCTGACTCAGCGGTCACTGAGTCAGCAGGAGTTTATTAAGCACCTACTATGTGACAAGCACTATCATGAAGGTGGTTAAACCCTCAGTGCCTCAGTGTTCTCATGAGGATAAGCTAATAGTTGTATATAACATAAAAAAGTATTTACAAAATATACATAAAGGCATGTGTGCTTATATGAATGTAAAATACATACAAATGCCTATATAAATGTAAAATATATACAAAGCAGAACAATAACACTTTGGAAATGTAAGCATATTTGTATTCATTATTTGAAAATAATCATGTTTATTTAGTTATTTATTTGAGAGAGAGAGGCAGACAGAGATGTCATAACCACTGGTTCACTCCTCAAATGTCCACAGGAGCCCTGGCTGGACCAGGCTGAAGACAGGAGCTAGGAACTCTGTGATAGGGACCTGAATACTTGAGCCATCACTTGCCACCTTCCCAGGTATGCATTAGGAGGGAGCTGGGATCAGACATGGTTCCCGGCCTGTGAGAAGGGATGTGGGCATCCCCATTTGCTTCTTAAGATTTATTTTATTTTTATTTTTGACAGGCACAGTGGACAGAGAGAGAGAGAGAGAGAAAGGTCTTCCTTTTGCCATTGGTTCACCCTCCAATGGCTGCTGCGGCTGGCGTGCAGCAGCCAGCGCATCGCGCTGATCCAAAGCCAGGAGCCAGGTGCTTCCTCCTGGTCTCCCATGGGGTGCAGGGCCCAAGCACTTGGGCCATCCTTCACTGCACTCCCTGGCCACAGCAGAGAGCTGGCCTGGAAGAGGGGCAACCAGGACAGAGTCCGGCGCCCCGACCGGGACTAGAACCCGGTGTGCCGGCGCCGCTAGGTGGAGGATTAGCCTATTGAGCCACGGCACTGGCCCCCATTGGCTTCTTAACTGCTGCTCCGAAACCCATCTCTTAATTATGTCTAATTAATGATGGTGCTACTGCTCCTTCCTAGCATGAGGCTGCCTTGAAAAGTTTATTGAAAATGGAAAACCCACAATTTTGAGAGGTCCTCAAAAAGTTCAGGGAAAATAAGCATTGTGAAAAGAAAGAAACTCTGCATGGATGGCAGAACTTTTG